TCATGAGTGACTTTCTACAGTATTTTGCTCATGGCTCATTACATCCAAAGTCCATCATAGGGTCACAGTTGTCTGATAGTATTTGAATTTTAATAATTTTTCTATAATTAGATTCATCTAAAATTTGAGGCGTATGTACATCTCGAAACTCGAAACTAAATAAAATATTAAAAAATAAATATATATTATATTAAATTGAGAATACGCCTGAAATATTCATAGGGGTAATTTGGTCAATTTATATTAAATTATTTTTTTATTTTGCTTAGGTACGTGTCACTAAGGTGCACACACAAAATTACAGATGAATCTGATTTGTAAAAATATTATTAAAATTCAAACACTAATAAGACAATCGTGCCCATTTTCTGGAATTTGGATGGTGATAAACAATGAGCGAAAAACTATAGAACTTCACACACGAGTGTTTTAAGTGTTTTTCCTGCACATACACAGCATCATCATAATTATTATCCTTACCTCATCTATTTCGGATAGGCTACACCAATTTTGCTCTGCTATTCTGCTCTATCAAGTACCATGTCCTTAGTCAGACCATAATCTTCTCATTACTTCCATCTATATCCTTTTGGGTCTTCCCTTTGCCCTTTTAGAGCCTTCCATTTGAATCAAATCACCCCTCCTAACTATTTATAAGTCGACGTTACACATGGTTAGACCACCTAAGTCTACTATCCATCATTTTATCGCATATAGAAGCCACCCCTAAATTCCCTTGGATGTATATGCAAATACATATGTATGCATGTGTATGTATGTATGCATGTATATATTTACATATATATATAACGGAAGACAAAATGTTACAGTTTAATCTGTCATTTTTAGATGATCAAATTTTTCAAACTCTCCATAAATTACCAAGGAGTAAAAAGTCATGTGCACATCAAGTGCCTCAAGACCTGCAAACCCTAGACCACCTAGGGCAACTTGGTGCATTCGACAACCATGAACCCAACAAATACATGAAGGAAAAACAACAAGCGCAATCAATTAAGAGAAACATGTCTAATAGATCTTTAGGAAATATGGTAGAATGCAAAGTAATTTTCCATAATTTTCTAAACAAAATCACTCTCCATAAATTACCAAGGAGTAAAAACTCATGTGCACATCATGTGGCTCAAGACCTGCAGACCCTAGACCACCTAGGGCAACTTGGTGCATTCAACAACCATGAACCCAACAAATACATGAAGGAAAAACAACCACCACCACAATCAATTAAGAGAAACATGTCTAATAGATCCTCAGGAAATATGGTAGAATGCAAAACAATTTTCCATAATTTTGTAAACAAAATCACACTTCAATTTTATGGTAGATTTTATAAATATTGAAAATCTACTCCTCTTATGTATTTCGTTTGCTGTCTTTTTCAAAGTGAACAAGTGTGAAATCTTTAAAAGGAAAAAAAAGGTAATCAAACTTTCACATATATAACAGTTCATTCCAAACAATTTCATAAATTTTGAGATGCACACAAATCTTGCAAAGCTTCTAACTCAATACTCATATTCAATTCAGCAAGGGGTTTCACATGGATGATGCTGAAGATTGTGGGATTGCAATATCAAATTGGCTATACACATATATTATTCAAAAAAAAAATCACACACGCACGTATGCACACAACATGACCATTTATCTTTGACATAAGCAGCTCATATTCACCCCTAGCTATCAGAGATAAAATAACATGGCTGACAATTTCCTGTCTCTGCACAAAGTTCGAGAAACATTTTCATGGACTTCACATTTAACATGTCTAGCATGGTCATTGGCACATCCCTAGCAACCTGATTTCACATTTAACAACTGGGAAATTGTGAACTTCTTATGCCAATGGACAGCCAGCACTCACTGAATTTTCGCTCTCATGAAATCGACTATCTAGGTTTCATTTTTATATTTTGTTTAATTGTTCAATGGATTCAAGACAGCATGTGCAGAATTTGGGGTCAAACAAATCCCCCGAGATAGGTTTTTTAGAAGCTTTTGGGCTGTGGGTGAAAGCCAGGAGTTTCTAGACTATGAGCTAATGCGAAGATTTTTTGGGTTGTGAGAGAGTGAGTTAATGTCAAAGACAATAGGAAATGAAAATGGATAGACCGAGAGAGAGAGAGAGAGAGAGAGATGATAGATGAGAAGACGTGCAAAGAAAGTAAGGAAGGGAGGTCGTGGACATTGGCAGAGAGTAATTGGACATTGGCAGAGTAATTGTGAAAGAGAGGCCAGGCGGCAAAGAACAATGATGCGAGAAAGAGAATATAAAGGAAATAGGCTGGAAGAGCAAAGGGTATGAAAGTGGCCAAGAGAGGATGGACAGAGGGAGTATTGAGGAGGAAAAGATATCAAGGGGGAAGAGAGAGAGAGAGAAAGAGAGAGTGAGATTAATTGGAGTAGAACGAGAGTGGCACTAGAGGAGGTTCAACTTCAAACAGCAACAGTTCCATCTTATGCCATACAAAATTGTTCCAATTTTGTTCAACCCCATCTCGTAGATATCTCTTTTCTGATTATCAACAAAACTCTGCAAATTTTCTTCTCTACAATGTGTTAAAATGACATTAGAAATTCACCTAAACATGATACCAAATACCAGTGCGCCAATTGCCAAAAGCCCAAAACAGAGAATAAGCAAAGCGGAAAGTTTGAAATTGAAAGCATTTCTATATACGGGTTCAGATGCAGAGAAACGGAGAATCAAGACTCAAATGGATTGAATTTGCAAATACAGCAATAATGAATAACATTTTCTCTTGCAAGCATCATTTATCAGAACACATATCAGAACATCAAAACAGAATTTGGCAAATAAAATCGACATAACATTAGATGAGATAATCAAGGGGTACAATAAATGATTGGTCAGTATTTAATATAGAAAAAAAATGACACCATTGCCAACATGAACAAGTAAAGATAAAATAGATGAAAAACGCATATGAATCAGAAATGGAGATGAAACAGGGAACAGTCGATACCCCGCCAAACCAGGCGATCTTCAGCAGAACAATGCACTTCCAAATCTAGAACTCCTGATACCTGAATATAATATATAAAAATTAATCTGAGAAGGCTAAAATCTATGAAAAATAAAAGGAAGAGACTGCAAAATCAAGGCAATAAGCACTAAGCAATGACGCATCATTTGCTTACCAGAAAAAAATCAATGATATAAAATTATAAACATACAAATGCAAGGTGGAAAAAAGGCAAGGAGCTTTTTGCATGATTTTTCATAGTAGCTACCTCTTAGGCAATGAAATGTGCACAAAAAAATGCCTACAAACACAATTATGAGAGAAAAGAAAGGAGATTCTGGGATTATTTTCTTCACCTCTTAATGGCGAGAGGGAACTCGTATTGTAAAAAAAAAAGGAGAGAGAGGGCCTGGTTCTGTAACCAAACCAGAGCAAATTTTTAGAGAGTTTTTAGAGAGAGAAAGGAGAGGGCGTGGTCTTGTAACGTACCAAGAGAGAATGAATTTTGAGAGAGAGAATAAGAAAAGAAGGCTAAGAAGGCGGAAGGGCGGGCTATTTATACGCGTTTAGGAGACGTGGGGATCACGGCATCGGCCCCAACCAACTGGAGCTCAGTTTTTGAATCGTGAAAACAACCCCTCCCCAAAATATTATTTATATCCAAATACCAATGAATGGGCCTTTACCATTGCTTCCTCCTGTTATTGTTTCCTCCGAGGTTCACTACACCGAATAATAATAATTAAAAATAATAATAAAGATAAATAGATTTGTTAATTAAAACTAATAATCAAGAAAAATAGATTTGATTGGCCAACAAAAAGAAAAGGACATCATGCATTTGAGCTTGTCGGCCCTCCTTATTATTGGTCTTTATCCCTTCAACAGGTTGTGAAACATATGAGCTCATAACTTTCTCAACATTTAATTAGGTTATCAAAAACACATAAACCTAAAATTATCTTGTTATAATTTTTTATTTCCACTAAAAAAATAAAAAGGGGCATTAACTAGAGAAAAAGATTTCTATGTTTCACTACAACATAGAAGTTCTATGTTCTTCCTACCATCAAGCTGTCTATTTTATATCGAGAGCGCTATTCGTCGTTTGATCTTAGATCAGACATCTCAAAGTATTTTAGTTTTAGTTTTTTTAATACAGTTTTTTTAATATGAAATTTGGTACGTGTTATCTTTTTATTCGGGTGCACCTATAAAAAATATTAACAATAAGTTTTTGATAAAAAATAATGATCAAAATATCTCTTGAAACTTTTAAAGGTATTTTGATCATTTTATTTTATTGAAAATATCTTTTTATATTTTTCATTGGTTTAATATAGGAATGGACGTCCAAAATTTGGTGTCAAAACAGTTTATAGAAAAAAAATAAAAAATGAAACAATATAGAGACGTGACATTGTGATTGAAATAACCTTTGCCCTCCATTAAAAAATGGACGGTTGGATAAAGAGGAACATAAAACTTCTATATGGTAAAGGGAACGTATAAAACTTTCCCTTAACTAGAATCGCACAAAGATTATTAGTAGCAAAAGGGAATGGGTCAATAATAGTGTGCAATGCACTTTTTGTTAAACACATCTATTGTCAACATTGGGTTCTCTTGAATGGGTTGGGCCATGCAGCCTAGTGGGCCCGGCTCTAAAAAGTAGGGCCGAGACCAAAACTGTAATTCAAACACTGAGCGAGGCCCAATAAGGCAGGTACAATAACCTCAACACCGCCCTCCTTCTTTCTTGTTATTTTTCTTTATTATTTTTTTCATTTGGTTTTAGCCCGACCCAAAGCACGGCCCCCTTTTTTTCGTTTTAGTTTTTGTTCATTTATTTTTAGCCTGATCTTGGGCGTTGCTGCCATTAATTAGTTTTTCCTTAAAGAAAAGGTTATAACTTTTTCTTTTCTTTTTTTTCCTTAAAAAAAGGAGGAACGTGTCTCTCTATGACTTGGTAAAAGTAAAAGGCACGGGAAAGTGAGGTTGTTCCCGGAAAGCTATCGACCTTTTGAAAACTGACCTAGTTCCCAAAAAGCAATTCACCCTTTATTTTCTCCATCCGCAAAATTAAAAGGCAATGAAAAGGAAAGATTTGGGGTCAAAAATGTTGATGGGGCCGCGGGCGAGGGGCTGGACCCTTCCGTTTTCCAACCGTCGGCACCGAAGAGGGCCCACGGGCGATTCCGCGCCAGCTGCCCGTGTGACGTGGGCCCACTTGAGCGCGTGACGACACCTGTGTCACGCGTAACATACGTGGCGTGAGGACTCCTATGGGCCCGCCACGTAGGGGCGGCTGCCCTCCCGTCCCTTTCCTCCTGCACCCCCCCCTCTCTCTCTCTCTCTCTAAAACTTTCTCTCTCTATGAGACCAAGACCACGCCGTGTATTTTCTCGGGATTTTATTGGGAAATAAAATTTGGTAATATTGTTGGGCCGCACGGGCGGCGACACTTGGTGTGGAAACAACCTTTGTGGGTCCCGCAGCATTCAAGCCGCGGGTTTTGCCATTCACGTGCAACCCGGCGATCTTTTGTTTGTTTTCGCTTTATTTTTGTCGAGTCGTCGGCTCGGGAAGGACTCCGCGTTTGCTTGTCGAACTAACTAGAGATTATGCCGCCGTTTTGTTCACTCGGTCTATCTAAGTCGGAGTTGGCCATGTAACTCGGACTCGCAACGCCAGTGGGACCTGATTGCTTATGAGTTCGGTGGGCTGGTTTAAATTTTTCCTCCTCATTATTTCTGAAACACTCTCATCATAAATTTATTTTTTCAAAAATTCATTTTTTTACTACTTTTTAACCATATTTAGATGCGTTATATTTTTAAAAAATTGTTTCATGCAAGCTGGATTGCATTTCTATATATGCGTTCTAAAAAGTGTAAGGCATCCATCGTAAAGATGATGCAGGTAAGTGTTCCATCTAAAAACAATGAAAATTAATTGTCCAAATGTTTTCTTACTAGATTTATTACTTTTAGTTTTTGAAATTTATTTATTTTTTCATATTCATGATGATCTTCGTATTAGTGATTACATATCTTGGAAAATTAAGTCTTAAAATCCGTCTCAAAAATAGATTTATTAAGAGGCCCGTATTTCTAGATATGTGGGCTTGGTCGCATAGAAATCGGATCCTATATTTAATTTTACTTTAAATATATTTCCTTTTTAAAAAAAAAATTTGTATTTTTTCTTTTTTCAACATTTTTTGGCTTGACTCAGGCTGAGCAACTCTGACTCAGCTCGAGCTACTTGGCCTAGGCATGGGGGAGTCCCATCCCGAGTCCTGGTTTTGAACATTGCCACACTCCAAATTGGGACTTTAGCAGTCCATACAAAAAATCGTAATACAAAGGGAGCGTGATCTCTAAATAAAAGTTAAATATTTGTTCTTTACTAGAAATGTAACTCCCCAATCTATTAAAAAAAAAGGGTAGGGCCTTGTCTTCCCTACTGAATTACTCAAAACAAAACCAAAAAACCTTTATATATGAGTGAGAATTTGTCAATAATTTTTAAGGCTGCCAATGAACCTATCGGCCTAATATGGCCTTAAAAAATTAGGGTTTGAGATACAAAATGTAACTCGAGAGCCACCACAGGCTGTGGGGCCAGCCTGCTCCTAGGCCAAGTCCATTATACGGTTGACCCGGTTTGGTTAAACCCATCCCTTTTATCCTTTTTTTTGTCTACTTTTATTGTATTTTCTTGGGCCAAACACTCTTTAACCATGTCCAAGCCGAGCTTGGGCCAGATCCGTAGGAATTAGGTCAGCCCTGGCTGGCCCAACTCATTGCAACCCCTATCAACAAAAATGAATGGATTTCCAGTTCCACTCAAAATTTTTCCCAAAAATTCCCTTGTTCCTGTGCAGTCATTATTCGAGTTTGATCTTATTTTTTCCCTTACATTCTCCTCTTTGGACGCAGTTTCTATGAATCCATGTAGAAATGAGTCAACGTTTAAAAATAGATTTTTAAAACGGATTTTTTTACCTAATTTTGAAGGATATATAATCTCTAATATGAAGATCATGAATATAAAAATAATAATTTTATAAATTACGTTTGGATCGTTAGTTTCAATTGTTTTTAGATGGACCATTTATTTGCATCCATCTTTTAAAATGGATACCGCGTAGAAATGCGGTCCAGCCCCACGTGAAACAATTTCCCCTCCTCTTTTCATGGAAATAACTCATTTACTCTAAGTAATAATAGCCCCATGATTGAATAACTGATTTTCGTTTGTGGACTGTGTTTTTTCCATGTTTTATCCTATTACCATTGGAAGGTCTCCTATTCCCATAGGAAGTAATCTCTGGTGCCTTGACTTATTCGCCCTTTTCACGCCATAAATAGTGTGTATGGTCGTTATTCAGAGTGGGGGTGGTAGGATTTTGCGTGACGTATATACTTTTAAGGTCAAATTTTAAAGCACAATGTATAGTTTTCTAATTTTCAACAGGAAAAGTGTTTGGTGAGTTGGTCGACTTCGGCCAACTTCAACCGACTCACGTTATTTTTGTGTGATCTCCCTATAAAATATGCTAAAATTTTAGGGCGTGTTTGATAAGTGGAGTTTCTGGAAGTGAGAGTTAAATGTCCCACTTCCATGTTTGATATTACTGTGTGGAAGCAATAAAATGGAAAGACGACCCATGTAGCTTTTTTTAGTGTTAAAATGTATTCATTTTTTGAATATCTCTTTTCTATCAAAAATGATGGAAGGGGAGTTTTCCATAATTTGTGGGAGAGTCCCTTCCACTCCCAAAATCTCTATGTATCAAACACAACCTTAGGGTTAAGTAATCTCAACAATCTAAATTTGAAATTTTCTTTTTTTCAATAAATATAAATTATCATTTTTTTAATTCATTTTTTCACCGTCTATTTTAACTTTAGTGGACATCCATTGTAAAGATGGACATTAGATAGACAAGGGACCATGCAGTAAGAAGTGCGTCTGCTGACCCACCAAAACCGTGTCCATTTTTTGAACATTGGACGCTTGTTTATGTGATGAGAACCATATGTGGAGCCTTTAGGTTTTTTCGTTTTCTATTTCCTTTGATAACGGATGCTCTTTATCATTTTTTTTGTTCCATCCTCTATTGAACATTCAAAAATGCCAAATATTAACAAGCTACTAGTTTGACTAAATTAATCAATTTATGAATAAGTTCATTCTTTTATGGTTGAAGTTGTAATTTTATGTTGATTAGTACAGGAAGAGATGACATAAGCTACTAGTTTATGGTAGGTATATGGTACACCAAGATGGTATCCATCAGTGCTTACGAAATCGCCAAATCGACTCAGGATTTGACTGGCTCAACTTGAAACAGGAGTTAGGTGACTCAGAGCAACCCTGGAATTGCCCTAATCTCCTACATTTTTTGGTAACTTCAGGATTTTTCGTGTTAAAAATTGCCCCATCCACCTTGGAATTGCCCAATTCCCACCAAGTAGTAGGAACGTAGTGAGTTGGAGCCCAAGTCTAGCTAAAACTTTTGTAATGGCCTCAAAAATCATTTTCATTATTATTTATGAAATTTAAAGCTAAAAAAAAAAAAGTGCAGTTT